AACTCCTGAGCTCAAACAATCCGCCCGCCTCGGCCTCCCAGAGTGCTAGGATTACAGGCCTGAGCCACCGCGCCCAGCCTGTTTCAAAGTTTTAAAATATTAATATAAATACTATCCTAGCACACATATTGTTCTGCAGCTTATTTCCTTCAAAAATATGCCCTGCGGATCCATTTTAGGGGGCATAGAGCTACTTCACTCTAACTTTTACCTTATCATTAATATAAATAACTACAGTGGTTCTTTCTATGTTCCTCTTTGCACAGCGGGGAAGAGTTGCTAGACACAGAGTAGGCACATTTACATGTTAATGGATACTGGTAAATATCCAACCAAAGTGGCACAACACATTTACACTCTACCGGTGTTTAAAAGTACCCGTTTCCCTCATATCTTGCCCACTTACTAGTGATAGCAGAACCTGCAGAAGCGCAGTGACCGCCTGAGCGTGCCCAACCACTCCCCGAACTACAACTCCCAGAAGGCACCGCGGACACCCCTATTCCCTGGTCTGCGGGAAGGGAATGACCAAGCCTGAGTATCTTGGGAAGGCTGCGCTGCCTCCGCCCCTCACCTACCTCTACAGCTCCCGGAGAGATGGGCCTACCACTCCCACAAGCCACCGCGAACTGTACGGGCCCGCCCCATCGCCAGACGCGGCGGGGCGGGGGAGGGCCAGACTCCACTTCCCGGCAGGCAGTGCGGGCCAAGGGGCGGGACTTCATTTCCCAGCAGGCTCCAGGCGGCGGGCGCCTCGGTGCCTTGTGTGGGATGTAAGCTTGGAGGTGGGCTCGGGGGACCCAGGCCAGGACTCTCCTTAGGGTTTGGGGGCGTTGGCCTGGGTGCGCCTTCCGGATGGACTCTAGGGGTCCGGGGGTGCAGTCGTAGGGAGGGGACGGGGTGGCCATTGGGGGTTCTCAGCGGGGTCCTCGGGGCGCTCCCTCGTCGGGGCTGGGGGTCCCAGGGTTGTGGGGGACAAGGAGGCCCCACAGCCTCAGCTGAAGGGTCTCACCGACAAAAGAGGGGGAGCTGGTGAGCGGAGGATGAAGGCGGGGAAGCAGGGAAGTTGTATGTGTGTTCGGGGTGGAACCTTAGCTGAGCCTGGGAGGGGGCTCCCCGGCCAAGCCTGCCCGACCCTCCTTTCCCTGGCTCGCCCGCAGGCCGCCGCCCGCCGCCATGGGGCTGAAGGCCGCCCAGAAGACGCTGTTCCCGCTGCGCTCCATCGACGACGTGGTGCGCCTGTTCGCTGCGGAGCTGGGCCGTGAGGAGCCGGACCTGGTGCTTCTCTCCCTGGTGCTGGGCTTCGTGGAGCATTTCCTGGCTGTCAACCGAGTCATCCCCACCAACGTGCCCGAGCTCACTTTCCAGCCCAGCCCCGCACCTGACCCTCCTGGCGGCCTCACCTACTTTCCTGTGGCTGACCTATCCATCATCGCTGCCCTCTACGCCCGCTTCACCGCCCAGATCCGTGGCGCTGTCGACCTGTCCCTTTACCCTCGAGAGGGAGGTGTCTCTAGCAGAGAGCTGGTGAAGAAGGTCTCCGATGTCATATGGAACAGCCTCAGCCGCTCCTACTTCAAGGACCGGGCTCACATCCAGTCCCTCTTCAGTTTCATCACAGGTTGGAGCCTGACAGGTGGCAAGGGAAGAGAATGAAACCTGTCCCACCTCTTCACAACACTCCATGGTTTACAAGCGCTTTTGAGATCTGTAAACCTTGTGTGGTGGAGCAGGTGTTAGTTGTCCCTTTGCAGTTGGGGAAGCTGAAGCCCAGAGGGGAAGTGATGTGCCAGTCTCACACAGAATGGCAGGGCTGGGACTGGAACCTGATCACTTGGCTCCAAATCCATTAGCCTCTCCTCTGCCCCCTCACAACCCCCACCCCTGACATTGAGCAGCTACAGAAGTCATGCAGCCCAGCATGAGGCACAGAGGGTGGTAGCAGATTTAGGGGGCAAGGAGACAAAATTGGGCTACATTTGAGATGATTGAATGAAATAATAACTATGGGAATGTTTTGGAAATGAACAGACCAGGAGCTTAATTTCAAGATTAAGATTTAGGGCTTACAAAGAACTTCTTTGTGCCAAGCCCAGTTGACTGGCAGTCCCATCCTAGTGTGCCGTATTGAGAAGGAATCTGAGGCTGCTTCTGAGCTTAGCAGGAAAGAGTGCGGAGATAAATTAGGAGTATTTTTTTTTTTTTTTTTTTTGAGACAGAGTCTCACTCTTTTGCCCAGGCTAGAGTGAGTGCCGTGGTGTTAGCCTAGCTCACCGCAACCTCAAATTCCTGGGCTCAAGCAATCCTTCTGCCTCAGCCTCCCGAGTAGCTGGGACTACAGGCACGCGCCACCATGCTTGGCTAGTTTTTTCTATATATTTTTAGTTGTCCGATTAATTTCTTTCTATTTTTAGTAGAAACGGGGTCTCGCTCTTGCTGAGGCTGGTTTTGAACTCCTGAGCTCAAACAATCTGCCCGCCTCGGCCTCCCAGAGAGCTAGGATTACAGGCGTGAGCCACCGCGCCCGGCCAAATTAGGAGTATGTTGGTGGGTGTGTGAAAAGAGTGTTGGCCAGAATGTCCTCTTTTTGCCATCCCTGTTTTAATCTAATAAGTGCAATAAAATGGGGAAATCCTTAAATTCACAGAAATATATAACATGGTTGCAGAGAGAGAAGGGACAGGGTCAAAGTCTGGGTCAGCTACAGGAAATCCAGAAAGTTCTCTTGTTGGGGATGGGGGTATAAATGGGGAGGGAGAGGCTTTGAACACAGTAGGGAAGAGCAAAAGGGACAGTGCCAGGAGCATCTGAAGTTGGGGCACAGGCTTGGAGTGGGGCTGGGAGGGAGTGTGGCCCATCACTATCTGTCCCCCTTTTCCCAGACCAAAGGACAGAGGACCCTCTTTCATTACCTCCCCCTTCCACAGGGACCAAACTGGACAGCTCTGGTGTGGCCTTTGCTGTGGTGGGGGCCTGCCAAGCCCTGGGTCTCCGGGATGTCCACCTGGCTCTGTCTGAGGATCATGCCTGGGTAGTGTTTGGGCCTAATGGGGAGCAGACAGCTGAGGTCACCTGGCATGGCAAGGGCAACGAGGACCGCAGGGGCCAGACTGTCAACGCGGGTGTAGCTGAGCGGGTATTGTGTTCTCCCAACCTTGTCCCCTTCATACTCTGCTAGCCCAAGCCACCCAAAGGACTTTACTTTCTTGGGCCCCATTCCCCTCTTCCCGTCACCACCTACATATATCAGGAGGGGAGGCAGAAGAGCCCCTTCCCTGGCTGTCATTCCCTGAAGCAGACACAGGGTGGGCCATCATGAGACATTTGATCTTGTCTCCTTGAAAGAGCTGGCTGTACCTGAAAGGATCATACATGCGCTGTGACCGCAAGATGGAGGTGGCATTTATGGTGTGTGCCATCAACCCTTCCATCGACCTGCACACCGACTCCCTGGAGCTGCTGCAGCTGCAGCAGGTGAGGGCTGTGCCCGCGGGGCAGGAGTGGGCTAGGCCAGGCTGCTGACTGGCCTTGCTGTGGGACTCGGGGCAGAGGCACTTTCCCTTCCTGAGCTTCCACTTCCCTTTCTGTAAAATGGGTTAGTAACTCCTGACCCGGCCTTTCCAAGGGCTATTAGGAGAGTGGAACTGAGACATGAAAGAGCTAGTTCCTGAATTCTGGTCCTTCCAACTTGGTGGGAGATCCCTGTTGGTTCTGGCCCCCACCTCTGCTTGATAGACTGAAGATCCTTCCTGTCCCCACCCCCTTAGCTCATAACTCTCTCTTTTGGCCCCTAGAAGCTGCTCTGGCTGCTCTATGACCTGGGACATCTAGAAAGGTCAGTAAGGGAAAGTGGCCAGGCTGGGCCTTAGGGGCCCAGAGGGCTGGGTGGCAGCCTGAACTTATGGTCCTTTGCCAGGTACCCCATGGCACTAGGGAACCTGGCAGATCTGGAGGAGCTGGAGCCCACCCCTGGCCGGCCAGACCCACTCACTCTCTACCACAAGGTGGGGTCATCTCAGGAGGGTGCAGAAGGGAGACCCCAGCAGTGGCTGGGGTCCCCTTCTGGGGATTTGGAGGGACAGGTGAGGTGAGAACTTTGTGTGTTGGGGTGTATTACCATCTAGCCCCATGTCGTATCAGATATACTGTGTGCATACTCCATGCAGTCAGGGCTGCCTGAAGGGTGTTCTGGGTTCCCCAGCCTGAGAGTGGCAGGGCCTGGATTTGTCCCTTCAGCCCTTCATTTCCTGCTGCCCCTCACTCTCCTTCCTGGAGTATAACAGAAGGTCAAAAACAGTGGGAGCACTGAGGAGGGAGTGTTAACTTGGTGGAGGTGGGAGTAGGAAGGCCATTGGCCTTGGCTTGGAAGTCTTTGTTGTTTGTGTAGATGAGTATGTGGGAAAGCCTGGGTAAGAGACAGAGCTTGGAGGGTAGGTCTCTCCCCTCCCTATTCTTGTTCTGTGTGGGCCCCACCCCTGCAGTCGGCCCCTGGCCTCAGCAAGCAGTCCTGCAGTCCCAGGAGCTGGCAGGGAGTGGGTGGGATTGGAGATGGACAGGACTCTTTGGGCTCTTCCTTTTACCCCTTCTGGGTGTGACCTGATGGGGCATTTGTGCCAGCTGAGGCAGCTGGGGGCTGCCTCCCTGAGGCTCCTCTGCCTCACCCCCCAGGGCATTGCCTCAGCCAAGACCTACTACCGAGATGAGCACATCTACCCCTACATGTACCTGGCCGGCTACCACTGTCGCAACCGCAATGTGCGCGAAGCCCTGCAAGCCTGGGCCGACACGGCCACTGTCATCCAGGAGTGAGGATCTCCCCAATAGGGCCTCCAGCTCCTCCTTTCATCCCCCTCCACCCAGTTTCCAACCACCCTCGTCCAGCAGTGAGGCCTGGATCCTAAGCCCTATCCCCTCTCCAACCAGTCCCTAGGCAGCCAAGGCCCCCATCACCCAGGAGGTAGGGACTGCTGATTAAGGGCTTCCCTCCCTCCCTCTCTCCTCCCAGTTTTTAACCACTGTCATCCAGCAGTGGGACCTCCACCTCAGCCCCATGCCCACTCCTTACTGTTGCTCTAGGGTAACACAGACACTATCACTTTGGAGCGAAGCTCCCAACCACTCCCCCAGTCCCTTAGATGACCCAGTAAAAGAAACTTGGGCTCCATCTCCTAGTAGATCCCCAAGGGTACCCCTCATGGCAAGAACCCACAGTGCCCCACTGCTCTCATAGCTACAACTACTGCCGAGAAGATGAGGAGATCTACAAGGAATTCTTCGAAGTGGCCAACGATGTCATCCCCAACTTGCTGAAGGAGGCTGCCAGCTTGCTGGAGGCAGGCGAGGAGCGGCCAGGGGAACAGAGCCAGGTGAAGGGCTGGTGCTCCACTCTGTGTCCAGCCTGCCACCTGGCAGGGCTCCCCAACCACAGGACATGGGGCTATACAGGAAGGTGGCCCCAAGCAGAGAACCACATTCCCTTCTGCTGTAGCTGAGGTCCTGGGCCTGGGTTTGAGGAGCAGGGAGTACTTCAGTGGTTTCTACCTTGTGCCTTCAAGTAAATGGGGTAGAAGCTCATCTCTTTCATGGCCAAGGTCCCTCATTCAGCTTAGGGGATGGGATGGAGGTAAAGGATGGTTCCCCTTCCCCAGTCCTGGCTAAGGACTGGCTTTATAAAAGAAAGGAGAAGCCTAGGCAAGAGCGGGACCCCGTCTTCTACACAGAATTGAAAAATTAGCCAGGTGTGGGGGCTCATGTCTGTAGTCCCAGCTACTTGGGAGGCTGAGGAAGGAGGATCACTTGAGCCCAGGAGTTTGAGGTTGCAGTGAGCTGTGATTATACCACTGCACTCCAGCCTGAGTGACAGAGTGAGACCCTATCTCGAAAAAAAAAAAAGTTCTAAGAATGCTCCCAACCTATGTTCACTTCTTCCAGAGCTGGGATTTGTTGCCTTGGTGGTGGTGGTGGGGGGGGGCTGGCCTATGCCCTCTGCCTAGGGATGAGTAAGGGTCTCTGACCTGTGCCCTCCCTTCCCCCTTGCCCAGGGTACCCAGAGCCAGGGTTCTGCTCTCCAAGACCCTGAGTGCTTCGCCCACCTGCTGCGATTCTACGATGGCATCTGCAAATGGGAGGAGGGCAGCCCCACGCCTGTGCTGCACGTAGGCTGGGCCACCTTCCTTGTGCAGTCCCTCGGACGTTTTGAGGGACAGGTGAGGGGCAGCTGTACAGGAGGGCTGGGCACTTCAGGTGGTGACAGCAGCCACAGGAGAGTCAGACCTTTGTGGCCCAGAGGCAGCATCTGTCCATCCCCTTGGGTACAGTTGAGACGGAGACCCCCTAGACAGGATGGGATGGATGGCCACGGCAGGGCCCTCGAGTTCCAGCCACTGGGCCGCAGCCTTTCCCTCAGCTTGCTCTCTCTCACTGCCCAGGTGCGGCAGAAGGTGCGCATAGTCAGCCGGGAGGCCGAGGCAGCAGAGGCAGAGGAACCCTGGGGCGAGGAAGCCCGGGAAGGCCGGCGGCGGGGCCCGCGGCGAGAGTCCAAGCCAGAGGAGCCTCCGCCACCCAAGAAGCCCGCTCTGGACAAGGGCCCGGGCACCGGCCAGAATGCGGTGTCGGCACCCCCTCGGAAGCCCGCAGGGACGGTCCCGGGCACTGCCCGAGGCCCCGAAGGCGGAAGCGCGATTCAGGCGCCAACACCTGCAGCGTCGCCGCCGCCCGAGGGTCCGGTGCTCACTTTCCAGAGCGAGAAGATGAAGGGCATGAAGGAGCTGCTGGTGGCCACCAAGATCAACTCGAGCGCTATCAAGCTGCAACTCACGGCGCAGTCGCAAGTGCAGATGAAGAAGCAGAAAGTGTCCACACCCAGCGACTACACTCTTTCTTTCCTCAAGCGGCAGCGCAAGGGCCTCTGAGATATTGAGGACTTCCTAACAGCCCACCCGGCCCCAGGGCCCGCCCTCAGTCCGTACCGAGGCTCCACCCTGGTCCTCCTGCTCCGAGCCCAGGCTCCGCCCCCAGCGCTCGGGGGCCTAGGCCGGGCGGCCTGCTCAGGACCAGGCCCCACCCCTACCCGGAACCCAGGCATCTGGTCCTCGGAATACAGACTTCATACATACCCCCTCTACCCCCGACTTAAGATTCGCTCCAGCTCAGAACCGAGGACCCCGCTCCCAGAATCCCAGCCGGCCGATTGAAACTTCACCCCAGGCCCTGATCACCGATCTTTAAAGGTCCAACCCCTGGAAACTCCGGTTCCTCCTCAGAATGGAGGCGCTAACCTAGAGCCAAACCGGAGTTGCTCCCAGCTCGCAGGGGCTGAGGTTTCACCCCTAACCCAAGTAGCACAGGTCCCATCTCCAGCCCTGGAACCCAGAACCCCTGTTAGCCCCTAGGAGTACATTTCCGCACTTCAGAATTCCAACCCTTGGGAATCCAAGTCCCCTACCCCAAAGAACTTAAGTCCTGCTCCAGAACTTGGAAATCCTGGCTTCCTCTCCTTCCTATCCCAAGAGCCCGTGACACGAAACTCTACCCCCAGCCGATGAGAATCCTGAGTCCTGTCCTCTCTCCTCTGACCTGACTGGTCCGGGATCAGAGCAGGACCTCTCTTACGACCCTCTAGGAACCTCCCCGAGGTTCAGTCCATCTCGGGGACCCGGGAGGAAATCTGCAGGGGGTTGGGAGTGGGTGAAGGGAGCCTGAGCTCTTCCTATTTTGTACATAGATTTATTTTTCAGTTCTGAGGAAGATAAATACATTTTGTAAAAAAACAAATCCCATGTGGGTGATTCATCTGGGAAACTGGGGATGGGGCGGGGAGTGCGACGTCCCCTCTTTCCTCTGCTTTCTGGCTTTCTGGACTTGGCGCTCCCTACCCATAGAGGGCGAGGAACTGGCGCATGGCTTCAGGACCCAAGCCCCGCCCCGGCCTCGGGACTTCCCCGCGTCGCAGAGGGCCTGTCCCGCGGGCGCCTCCTCCCGGCCGGGCGGCGGGGCATCCCCGGTCTGGCCCCGCCCCTGGCCCCGCCCCCGCGGCCTCGGAGCCACCCGCGCCGTCCCGCGCCGGCTCCGCAGCTTGCGTCCGCCCGCCAGCCGGCCCGCCCGGCGCCGGGCCATGGCGCTGCTGCGGGACGTGTCGCTGCAGGATCCGCGGGACCGCTTCGAGCTGCTGCAGCGCGTGGGAGCCGGGACCTATGGCGACGTCTACAAGGTGCGCCGGGCGGCAGGACCAGCGGGAGAGCCGGCAGGGGGTTGCAGGCTCTGCGTCCTGCTGGGGAAACCAGCCCCCAGCCCCGTCCCCTCCTCATCTCGCTTCGCTCCTCCACCCCTGCAGGCCCGCGACACGGTCACGTCCGAACTGGCCGCCGTGAAGATAGTCAAGCTAGACCCAGGTGAGGGCCAGGCCGGGGCCTCTGCGCCGCAGGGAGGGCGGAGCGCCTGCGGGCGCGGTGTGCGGGGCGGAGGGCTGACATTTGCGAGCCCCCCTGAGAGGCATGCCCCAGGAGGTCCTGTCGCTTAGCACTCTGTGCCCATTTTGCAGATGGGGGTACTGAGTCAGGGCGACCCTTGTGCGGCTCCCCCCATGATTTCTTGTGCTCCCCAGGCGACGACATCAGCTCCCTCCAGCAGGAAATCACCATCCTGCGGGAGTGCCGCCACCCCAATGTGGTGGCCTACATTGGCAGCTACCTCAGGTGAGGCTGCTTTATCTCCGCTCCCAGGCAGCCCCCATGTGGCCTGCCGCGTGCCCACCCCAGCTCTGTGTTCCCCCAGGAATGACCGCCTGTGGATCTGCATGGAGTTCTGCGGAGGGGGGTCCCTGCAGGAGATTTACCATGGTGAGGGCCAGAGCTCTAGGCCCCAGAGGGCCACTGCCTTCCCTTCACCCCATCCCCAGCCCAATGCAGGGGAGGAGAGTCTTGGCCCTGGACTTGGCTCCTCTCCACTCCTGGCTGGCTGTGTGACCTTGAGAGAAATGCTGTCCATCTCTGGGCTCAGTATCCCAGACTATACTTGGAAGGAATGTGGCCAACACCTCTTTCACTTAGCAGTGCCTGCTGCTTCCCCAACACAGGGTAGCCTGGGAGGGGCGACATATCCCCTGCCCCCCCTGCCAGCCCTTGCACTTTCTGTTTCAGCCACTGGGCCCCTGGAGGAACAGCAGATTGCCTATGTCTGCCGAGAGGCACTGAAGGTAGCTGGGCCCATGAGGCACTCACCACCCCCTCAATACCCAGGACCTGTGGGCCAAGAGCCCAGTTGAGCAGTGGGGGGCGGGCGGAGTGGCTCAAGCAGGGCTGGCCCAAGGGGCTGTGGGTCCTATAGGGAAGGGGCCCCAGACCTGTTGCCGGAAGCAGCTCATTTCCCTCTTGGCTCAGTTACTTCCTGTTTGGGGAGAGGGGAGGAGGAAGCGGCTTGGGTGGGGGGCCCCAGTCCTGAGAGGGGGTTCAGGAGAGGGGTGATAGTGCTGGGTAGCTGCTCTCAGGGATTCCTCTTTGTTCCCAGGGGCTCCACCACTTGCATTCTCAGGGGAAGATCCACAGAGACATCAAGGTAGGGGTCTGGCCAAGGGCATCATGGGAGGGAGGAGGAGGCTCTCGGGGCACCAGACGGGATTCTCTCTCCTCCATTCCCACAGGGAGCCAACCTTCTCCTCACTCTCCAGGGAGATGTCAAGCTGGGTCAGTACCCTGGGGACACAGGCAGGGTGAGGGTTCTTTGGGAGCTCTGGGAGTCTGAGAGAGAACCTGGACTCCAGTGCTGGGTGTCCTTGGACAAGTCACTTTGCCACTTGAGTCTCAGTTTCCTCATTCAGAAAATGGAACAGTACTCCCTACGTTCTAGAGGTTGGATAAGGTTGGGTCTGTATGGAGTCTGACACGGGACAGGCACTCGGTCAGGGATAGTGGGTGGTTGACCCCTTTCTGGAGAGGGACCTGGCCTTGCCTTGGGCCTGTGACTGAACCTGGGCCGCCTGCCCATCCGAGCCCCACCAGGTGCATCCTGAACCTGAACCCTGGGGGTGAGATGGCAAGTGGCAGGCAGAGGGCTGGTGAGAGCCACTGCTTCTCCCTGCAGCTGACTTTGGGGTGTCAGGCGAGCTGACGGCATCTGTGGCCAAGAGGAGGTCTTTCATTGGGACGCCTTACTGGTGAGGCTGCAGCTCGGGCAGAGGGGGCAGGGGACCATAGGTGTGGTACCCGGCCATCCCATCTGTCACCCCACCTCTAGGATGGCTCCAGAGGTGGCTGCTGTGGAGCGTAAAGGTGGCTACAATGAGCTGTGTGACGTCTGGGCCCTGGGCATCACTGCCATTGAGTTGGGCGAGCTACAGCCCCCTCTATTCCACCTGCACCCCATGAGGTCAGCTCAGCACTTGCCCTTGTCTAACCCTTGTCCTGTGGACCTTGGCCCCTGACCTTGCACCCTCCACAGGGCCCTGATGCTCATGTCGAAGAGCAGCTTCCAGCCTCCCAAGCTGAGAGACAAGACTCGCTGGTGAGGGCCTACATTCCCCTCCTGGGATCCCCCCACTTTTCAGCCAGACCCTGTGGGGAAGGAGGAGCCTTCTGCCGACTCCCAGGGTGCAGTCTCGAGAGCCCTCTCTGGGCTTCTACTGACCATCTGAGCGAGGGGCCTGGTGGCCCTCTGGGCTGAGGATTCAGTGTGAACAGGAAAGAAGGGCAGAGGGTTGATGACAGAGGATCTGCTGTGTCGCAACACAGCGTTGCTCAGGCCGGCTGCCCTTGGCCTCTGCCGGCTCTTTCCTGGGTGGGCCCAGCACACTCCTCTGCAGGGAGGGCAGGGTAGCAGGTGGGATGCTGTACACAAGAACTAACCTGGGTCTGGGGGTGGGGGCCTCTTGTGCCCACTAGGACCCAGAATTTCCACCATTTTCTCAAGCTGGCCTTGACCAAGAACCCCAAGAAGAGGCCAACAGCAGAGAAGCTTCTGCAGGTGGGAGGCGGGGGTGGGGGGCAGGGGCCTCAGTGTTCAAAGTCAGGGGCCTGGAGGACAGGGACCAACCTGATCACCCCTCTCCTCCAGCACCCATTCACAACCCAGCAGCTCCCTCGGGCCCTCCTCACACAGCTGTTGGACAAGGCCAATGACCCCGATCTGGGAGCCCCCTCCCCTGAAGACTGTGAGCTGGAGGTAAGTGGGGGGGGGGGAGCTGGGAAATGGGTCTTGGCTGGGCCTGGTCGGAAGGACCCAAAGGTGATGTCAGTCAAGGTCCCTTCAACTTGTACAATACCTGCACAGGGGGCTTCCCTCCAGTTGGGCCCACCCATTAGAAATCTTTCCTGAGCTGGGTCTTGCCTCCCTGTAACACCCATGAACCCGATAGGTTCCTGCCCTTGGGCCCAGGCTGACCAACACCATGACCCAGCTTCTTTTTGCTTCCTGTGTGATCTCTCAAAAGTTATTTGACCTTTCTGTGCCCATTTTCTCATATGAGGGTGTCATCTGGTCTCACGATAATCTCAGAGGATTGTAGTGAAAACATGTTGATGTGTTCGAAACACCTAATATGATACCTGGTGTGAGGCACATGCCAGGCGTGTGTCCCTGTTTGTTCTCTCGTAGACTTATGACGTGTTTCCAGACACCATTCACTCCCGGGGTCAGCACGGCCCGGCTGAGAGGACCCCCTCGGAGATCCAGTGTGAGTCTGTGGTGGGGGCTGTGTGCGGATTTGCTGTGGGAGCGGGGTTCATCCTGAGACTCCAGCCCTCTAACTCCTGTATTCTGGGCCCCCCAGTTCACCAGGTGAAATTTGGTGCCCCACGCAGGAAGGAAACAGACCCACTAAATGAGCCGGTAAGGGGCAGGCTTTGTGGACAGGGTGGTGTGTAGGGGTGGGGTGGATAGAGCACTCTTGGGGAGCTGGGCACCTCCAATCAAGGGGGCTTTGAAGCAGTGGCTGCCTGGGCCTCGGCCACCGTCCAGGCAGGCCTGTCCTGCCCAGGGACCGGGAGGGCTAGGGGCTCCTTCCTGGGCCACGTTTCCTTTGCTCCCAGGCTCAGTCCCTGTCTGCCTTGCTCAGTCTGTTTCTCCCTCCCTCCTGTTTGTCTCTTTGCCCTTTTCTTTCACAATTTCATGGTCTCTCTGCCTCTCGCTGTCTCTCCCAAGTCTCTTGCCTGTCACCGGCTCCCTTTCCACCTGTCTGTCCTTGCTCTTTCCGGAAGCTCTTGACTGTTCTCTCACCTTGTCCCTCTCTCTCTGCCCCTCTCCGTTCTCTGCCCCTCTCCGTTCTCTGCCGTGGCTACTCCAGTGGGAGGAAGAGTGGACGCTGCTGGGGAAGGAGGAGCTGAGTGGGTAAGTGGCGGGGAGGGAAGCTGCAGGGAGGGGTTGGGGGCAGCAGAAAGGCTGACCTCTGACCCCTTTGTGCCCCTGCCCAGGAGCCTGCTGCAGTCAGTACAGGAGGCACTGGAGGAAAGGTGAGCGGCTGGGCCCCGGAGAGGGGCACGGGGCAGCCAGGCCTGGACGCCAGTGACCTCTCACACCTCAGCTGCCTCTGGTCTGTCCCCTACAGGAGCCTGACCATGCGGCCAGCCTCGGAACTGCAGGTGCAGAGTGGAGGGAGGCTGGAGCTGGGCATGAGGAACCCGCTGCAGAGGGTATGATGGGGTGGGGCAGGTTACAGAGCTACCTGCTAACACCCAGGCTGGGCCCCCAACCCTCCTGTCAGGAGCTGGACTCTCCAGACGATTCCATGGGAACCATCAAGCGGGCTCCATTCTTGGGGCCACCCCCCTCTGA